TATGCAACCATGAGTTGGAATGGGTTACAACCGTCGCACTCATGATTCCGATAATTCAACCATAAGTTACATTGAGATGGAAGCATCGCACAACAGATCCCGATCATTCAACCATAAATTAAACTGTGTTGATTAGAACCGGTTCCGATTATTCAACCATGAATTACATGTGAGCCCGAACCATCGCACACATGATTCGGCTAATCAAATCACACGTCACGCTGAGCTAGAACCATCGCGCACATGATCCCGAGAACCTAACCATAAGATCAGTTGAGTCCCAAACATCCCCCACATGCTTCCGAAAATTAAACCATAAGTTGGACTGAATTGCAACTATCGCACTAATGATTCCGATAAATCAACCAAAACTACATTGAGATGGAAGCATCGCACAAATGATCCTGGCCATTCAACCGTGAGTTCAGTTGTGTTGATAACAACCATCGCACAAATGATGAAGATAGTACAGCGATGAGATAAATTTGAGTTCGAAACATCGCACACGTGCTTCCGATAAGTCATTCGCAAGTCACGTTGAGTTAGAACCATCGTAAAAAGGATCCCGACAACTCGACCATCAAATCAGATGAATTCCAACAATCCCCCACATGCTTCCGACAATTCAACCATAAATTGGACTGCGTTGAAACCGTCGAACGATTGATTCCAATAACTCGACCACTAAATACATCGAGATGGAAACATCGCACCAAATATCCCGATCATTCAGCCATACCCATCGCACAAATTATTCCGCTAATTCAACAATGGGTTAGATTTGAGTTCAAACGATTGCACACATGATTCCGACAATTCAGGAACAGGCTACGCTGAGCTGGGACCATCACACAAATGATCCCGATAACTCAACGATGAGTTCAATTCAGTTCCGACCATCCTCCGCATGCTCCCAAAAATTCCAACCATATCAATAATGATTCCGATAACCCAAACGCAAATTAAATTGAGATGGAAAACCGCGACAACGATCCCGATAAATCAACCACAACTTAGGTAGACCGAGTCGAACCATCGCGCAAATAATACGGATAAATCAACCATGAATTAAATTGGGTTCCAATCAGCGCACACGTGATTCAGATAACTCAATCAAAAAAAGGTTACGCTGAGTTAGAACCATCGCACAGAAGGACCCCGATAACTCAACAAGAAGGTCATTTGGGTCCCAACCATCCCACCCATGCTTCCGAAAAGTCAGCCATAAAGTGGACTGAGGTAAAACCATTGCACGACTGATTCTGGTAACTCAACCTTAAAGTAAATTGGGATGGAAGCATCGAACAAACAATCCCCATAATTCAACCGAACGCTAAGTTGTTGAGTACAACCATCGCACCAGTGACCCCGATAACTCAACCATAAGTTCAGTTAAACTCCAAACATCCCTCACATGCTCCAGAACGTTCGACTATAAGCTGGACTGAGCTAGACCCTCGCACTAATGATTCCAATTATCCAACCATAAGTTCAATTGGCATGGACTTATCGCGCGAACGATCCCGATCATCTAATCATAAGTCAAGTTGTGTTGATTAGAAACATCGCACACATGATTCCGACAGATCAATCACAAATTACGCTGAATTAGAAACATCGCCCAATGTTTCGCGATAACTCGTCCATCAGTTCAAACGAGCACCAACAATCCCCACCATGCTTCCGAAAAGTCAACCATGGGTTGGCCTGAGTTTAAGCCATCGCACTAATGACTCCGATTATCCAAACATACATCACATTGAAATGGAAGCATCGCACACTTGATCGAGATGATGCAACCATGTGTTAACTTGTGCTGGTTCAAAACTACTGCATAAATGTTCCCGAACATTCACCCACGAATGAAATTTGAGTTCGAACCGTCGCACACATGATTCCGTTAATTCAATCACACGTTACGTTAAGTGAAACCTTCGCACAGAGGATCCAGACAAAACTCAACCATAAGTTCAGTTGAGCTCCAGCCATCGCCCACATGCTTCCGAATACTCAACCATAAGATGAACTGAATTAAGATCATCGCAGATGGAAGCATCGCAGAGAACGCTCCCGATAATTCAACGTTGCGTTGTTTTGATTAGAACCATCGCGCAATTGATTCCGATAATTCAACCATGAATTCAATTCGGGCTCGAACCATAGCACACATGATTCCGATAACTCAAGCACAAGTTACGTTGAATTTTTTACCATCGCACGAAGGGTCCCGATAACTCAACCACAAGTTCAGTTGAGCTCCAACCAGCCCCCACATGCTTCCGAAAATCCAACCATGAGTTAACATGGGATGGACGCATCGCACACACGGTCCCGATACTTCAACCATCAGTTCAGTTGTGTTGGTTAGAGCCATCGCGCAAATGATTCCAAGACTTCAGCCATCGGTATACACATGACGGCGCACCAGGGCCAGGGCCCCCGAGGCCACGACCTCTGCCACAAATGTGTGTGTGTGTGTGTGTGTGTGTGTGTGTGTGTGTGTGTGTGTGTGTGTGTGTGTGTGTGTGTGTGTGTGTGTGTGTGTGTGTGTGTGTGTGTGTGTGTGTGTGTGTGTGTGTGTGTGTGTGTGTGTGTGTGTGTGTGTGTGTGTGTGTGTGTGTGTGTGTGTGTGTGTGTGTGTGTGTGTGTGTGTGTGTGTGTGTGTGTGTGTGTGTGTGTGTGTGTGTGTGTGTGTGTGTGTGTGTGTGTGTGTGTGTGTGTGTGTGTGTGTGTGTGTGTGTGTGTGTGTGTGTGTGTGTGTGTGTGTGTGCAGGGGCCTGGGCGGACCTCGGGGGGCCCAGACTCGGCTCGGAGTGCGGTCCGATGGGCGTCCAGGCGGCCCCAGCCAGCCGCCAACCACCCTGAAGACGGTTTCGACAGATCACGGGACGCCTCCAACGGCCCCAGAGGTTTCGAAGACGCCTCATAACCCGTGCAACCTGCCCCCACGAGGGCCCCGAGAGGCAAAGATACCCCAATTCCCTTCGTAAAATGTACGTGTTTACCGTATTCGTGTTTTTCGTTTTCGCACCATCCTTGACGACCTCAGGGGCCCCTAAGATCGCCCGTGCACGGCCCAGAAGGCCCCCCCATAGGGCGCGAAGACGGCCCAAGAGGATCCCAGGCCGGTCCCAGAGGCACCCAAGACGGCCCAAACGGCCTCCCAGAGGGCTACAAAAGGAGCGGAAGATGGGGCAATCCAACTGGAATTGCGAGCCCCACGCCCCAAGAGGACCTCCGAGACTCACAAGAAGCCCCTGAGCAGCCAACAAGAGGCCTCCAAGACAGCTCATAACCCGTGCAATGAGACCTCCCAGAAGCCCCGAGAAGCAAAAATGGACCCATTCCCTTCATTAAAAATACATGTTTACCGCAGTCGTGTTTTTTGTCTTCGTACCGTCCTTGATAGCCTCGGGGGCCCCCGCGATCGCCCCAACACGGCCCAAAAGACCCCCCCCGAGGGCGCCAAAAAGGCCCAAGAAGGTCCCAAGACAGTCCCAGAGACAGCGGAGATGGCCCGAACGGCCTCCCACCGAACGGACTCCCAAATGGCCCCAAGAGGAACCCGAGCTGGGGACATCCAATCGGAATTGCGAGCCCCCCCGCCCAAGAGGATCCCCAGAATCCCCGAGGAGGCCCCCAAGCAGCCCTCAAGAAGCTGCCAAGACGCCTCAAAACACGTGCCGTTTGTTCCCCAAGAGGGCCCCGAGGCAACAATCGCCTCCTTCCCTTCGTAAACCAGCACTTTAAAAATATTAGATGTGTTGGTCTTCGTACCGGCCTTACCGACTTCAGGGGCCCCCAAGATCGCCCCAATACGGCGCAGGAGGCCCTCCAGGGGGCGCCAAGACGGCCGAGGAGGACCCAAGTCCCGGAGCCACCCAAGACGGTCCAAATGGCCTCCCAAAGCGCCCCGAGTGGGTCCCAATATGGAGGAATCCAATTGGAATTGCGAGCCCCCCGCTCCAAGAGGACCCCCAAAGGGGCTCCCAATAGGCTCCCACTAGGCCCCAGAGGCGCCCGAGAAGCCCCCAGGAGACCCCCCAAACGTCGCAAACGGGCATCAACGATGGCCGACGACGGCCGACGACGGCCTCATAGCCCTACAGCCTAATAGCCCAATTAGCCCAATAGCCCTATAGCCTTGTAGCATTATAGTCCTACAGCCCTATCGCCGTAGAGCCCTATGGCTCTATATCCCTACAGCCTTATAGCCCTATAGCCATATAGTTCCATAGCCCTACAGCCCCATAGCCCCATCGCCCTCTGGCCCTATAGCTCTATATATGCCTATAGCCCTATAGCCTATATAGCCCCATAGCCCTGTACCCCTATATCCCTATAGCCCTATGGTCATATAGCCCTATAGCCCCATAGCTCTATAGGCTCATAGCACTATTGCCATGTAGACCTATAGCCCCGTATCCCAAAAGACCCATAGCCTCATAGCCCTATAGCCCTACAGCCCGATAGCCCTATAACCCTATAGCTCTATAGCCCTGTAGCCCTATAGACCTTGAGTCATATGGCCCTACAGCCCTGTAGTTCCATCGCCCTATAGCCCCATACCCCCATCGCCCTGCAGCCCAATGGCCCCATAGCCCTGTAGCCCTAAAGAGGCTTTGATTTGGAATGTCTCCGGCATCGTATCTAAATATATATAGAGAGAGAGAGAGAGAAACAAACAAAATCAGACACTCATATACATTATATACAAGCACCCACCAAACAAAACTTCAATCCTCTCTACTCCTTCTTGCAGTCACCTTCCTCCTCCTCCTCCTCCTCCTCCTCCCCCTCCTCCTCCTTCTCCAACCTTGTGGTTTCAGGCGCCGCGGCCCCGCGAGCAGCTGTCGAGAGCGGAGCGGCCGAGGGCGAAAACGCTGCCAGACGATGCGGGCGCCAACGCTGACGCCAACGACGACGGCGGCGACAAGGACGTCGGAAAGGCCGACGAAGACGACGACGACGACGACGACGGCGATGGCGGAGGGAGGAGCCTCTGGAACCATTCCACCGCCTCCTGCGTGACCTGGCACCACTCGCCATGCCTTCGCGACGGACCCATCCCAGCCTCCTGCGCCTCCTCCTCCTCCTCCTCATCCTTCTCCTCGTTCCCCTTCCGGCCCTTCCTCCTGATATGACTGTTCCGCCTTCCTCCTCCTCCTCTTCCTCCTGCTCCTCCTCCTCCTCCTCCTTCTCCTCCTCCTCCTCCTCCTCCTCCCCACGTCCTCTTCTCCCCTTCGTGTTCCTCTGCCTCCTCTCCTACCGGCCACGCCCTTCATCATCCTCATTGCGCTTCTCTTCTGGTCTTCACTCCAACTCTCGCTCCCCCTCTCTCGCGCACACGCTGAGCGCCACTATCCAGGCAGAGCCGAAGTGGCGCGCCCCGCCCGCTGCATCGATGGCGGGCCTCGTGCGTCAGACTTCCTCATCTGCTCTGGTTTGCGGTTCTAAAACGTATACCGATGAGGCAAGCCTTCGGGTGACAAGGAGTTTGCGCGGATGGGTGCAATGTTCGGTGTGCAACTGGCGTCGGGTCGCATTGGCGATGTATCCATGTAAAGCTACCGGCTCTCATCGTTTGACCTCGCATCATTCACCCAGGAACGCACATTCATATACGTAGGTGCGTGTGTGTATGTTGTTGTATGTGCGTACGCATGTATGTACGTAGATATACATGGTGCTATGTGTCTGTGTGTACGGATGTATGTGTGTATGGATGTGACTATACATGCGCGTGTACACCTGTAAGCCAGCCTGTGTGTATGTATATGTGTGTACATGTATGGTTGTATGTTTGTATGTCTGCATGCACGCATGCATGTATGATAATATGTATGGATCCGTGTGGGTATGAGTACGTACGTGTGTATGCGCGAGCGTGTACACGTATGCATACATGGATGAATGCATGTATATAGACACGCATGTTTTATGTATGTATGCATGCATGTATGTATTTACGTACGTGCGCGTGTATGCACGTACGTCTGTGTGTATGTATGTATGTATGTACGTATGCGTGCATGCATGTCTGAATGTATGTATGTATGTATGTATGTATGTATGCAGGTGCGTATGTATGAAAGGGCGCCTTCTGTGGTCGCTTGGAGGGGGGGGGACCAGACCCCCCCCCCCCCCCCGACAACCCCATCTCTCCCTCTCCTCTCTCCTCGGGCCGTCGCCTGCGTCGGCGGCGGCTGGCGGCGGCAGCGGGGACGACGATTCCTTTTTGTGGGCCGGCGCCGGCGCCTGCGGCGGCGAGCGGCGCCGGCGGGGAGCGTCGACGAGGACGACGGTGGTGGTGGTGGTGGGTTGTGGTGGTGGTCGTGGCGGTAGTGGTAATTTCGTGGTGGTGGTGGTGGCGTGGCTTGTGATGGTGGTGGTGGTTGTGATGGGGTGTGGTGGTGGTGGTGGTGGTTTAGTGGTGGTGTGGTGGTGGTTGTGGTGGTGGTGGTGGTGGGTTGTGGTGGTGGTCGTGGTGGTGGTTTGGTGGTGTTATGGTGGTTGGTAGTGGCGGTGGTGGTCGTGGGTTGTGGTGGTGGTGGTGGTGATGTCGTGGTTTGTGGTGGTGGGCTTCGCTGCTGGTAGTGGTAGACTGTGGTGGCGGTGGTGGTGGTGTGGTAGATTGTGGTGGTGGTGGTGGTGGTAGTATTGGTGGGTCTTTGCGGTGGTGGTGGTGGCGATGGTGAGTTGTTGTGGTGGTGGTTGTGGTGGTGGTGGCTGTGGTGGTGGTGGTTGTGCGGTGGGCTGGTGGTGGTGGTGGGTTACGGCGGTGGTTGTGGTGGTGGTAGTGGTGGTTGGTGGTGGTAGTGGTGGTAATCGTCGCTGCGTCTCCGCCGTCGCTGGCGCCAGCGCCGGCGCTGCTGGCCGCCCCCAGCGCCGGCGCCGGCGCCAGGGTGGGTGGGGGGGGCGGGGTTCAAACCCCCCCCCCTGGGCTGCTTCTGGTCATCGTCGCTGCGTCCCCGCCGTTGGCGCTGCTGGCGGCCGCCAGCGCCGGCGCCGCCGCAGAGGGGGGTGGGTTGAACCCCCCCCCTTCCCCTGGGAGGGGTCGGGGGGGGGTTAGGGGGGAGGGGAGTCCCCCTGGTTTTGATCGACGGCGCCGAGTGTCGGGGGGGGGCACACCCCCTGGTTCGAATCGCGCCGCCGAACGTTCCCAAGGCAAGCGCCCGTGAAGCGCGTTCTCTCGCATGTATATTTGTACATGTGTGTACATACGTAGGTGCGTACGTAAGTATATGTGTGTACATATATATAGTTATATGTGTGTTTTGATGTGTGCATGTATGTGAGAATGCTTTATGTATGTATGTGTTCACATGTGCGTATATGTGTGCATGTGCTGGTGTGCATGCATGTGTATGTGTGTATGAATGTGTGTATGTCTGAATGTATGTGTACGTACGTCCATATGTATGTAGGTATGTGTGAATGTGTATGTGTGTATGGTTGCATGTACGTATGTATGAATGTACGTATGCATTAATGTATGTATGTATGAATGGATGTATGTATGTATGGCTGTATGTATGTCTGTCTGTCTGTCTGTCTGTTTGCCTGCCTGCCTGCCTGCCTGCCTGCCTGTATGTATGTATGTATGTATGTATGTATGTATGTATAGATGTATGTGTATGTATGTGTGTATGCATGTATGTATGTATGTATGTTTGTATGTATGTATGTATGTATCTATGTATGTATGTATGTATGTATGTATGTATGTCTGTCTGTCTGTATGTATGTATGTATGTATGTATGTATGTATGTATGTATGTGTGTGTGCATGTGGTTGTATGTGTGTACGTACGTACTCGTGTGTATGTATGTGTGCATGTATGTGTGTTTGTTTACAGGCATGCATGCGTGCAAGCATGCATGCACGTAGGTAAGTAGGTAGGTAGGTAGGTAGGAAGGTAGATAGGTAGGTAGGCAGGCATTCAGGTGGGTAGATAGGCATCATGTGTATACATATATGTATATATATATATATATATATATATATATATATATATATATATGTACACACATGTCCATCGATGTGTGTATCCGTCACAGTGCCTCTTGGCACGAAGTGGGCGTGCCTTCAGATGCTGTCCCTCATCCTCTATATGCTCCAATCCGTAATCCTGAGGTGTCTCTGAGGGGCCTGGGCCACGAATTACCAAATCTCTCAGGGCTTGTCGCGTGCCCCCAGGGCTCTGGCGCATCTTGTCGCATAACTTTTCGGGGTTCAATCTGCCCCCAGGACGGGCCAAGAGATCCCCAAAAGCCCCCTCCCCCGAAGGCAGCCCAGGAGGACACCGAGACGCCGAAAGATCGCCCCAGGATGCGCAAGATGGCCTTCAAAGGCCCAAGAGGCATCCAAGAAGCCCCAAAAGGCCTCCAAGAGGCCTCCCAAGAGGGCCCCAAGAGGCACAAATCATTAATCGGCGTAGGTGTTTGAAGACTGTGTGCAATCTCACCTTTTCTGCTTCCCGACGCTCCAAGACGGCCCAAGAGACCCCCAAGACCACCAAGACGGCCCAAGAGGCGCCCAAGACGGCCCCAAAGGCCCCAAGACGGCCCCAAAGGGGGCCCGAGAGAAGGAACACGCACCAAAAATATTATCCTGGCGAAAGACCCAACCATAAGCAATTGTTGGTAACGCGTTGTGGGTGCCGCTTTCGGTGGGGCTCCATATGGGGCCACGAAGCGCTGCCTTGGATAGGGGGAACCGCATGCGGACTGCGCCACCGGGGCGGGCCTTCGGTGGAGCTCCCTATGGGGCTACGAAACGCTGCCCTGGGTGGGGGAACCGCATGCGAACTGCGCCACTGGGGCCTTCGGTGGAGCTCCCTATGGTGCCACGAACGCTGCCCTGGGTGGGGGAAGCGCATGCGAACTGCGCCACGGGGGCTTTCGGTGGAGCTCCCCATGGGGCCACGAAGCGCTGCCCTGGAACCGCATGGGGGAACCGCATGCGAGGGCAGCCACTGGGGCCTCCGGTGGAGCTCCCTATGGGGCCACGAAACGCTGCCCTGGGTGGGGGAACCGCATGCGAACACCCCCACTGGGGCCTTCGGTGGAGCTCCCTATGGGGCCACGAAACGCTGCCCTGGGTGGGGGAACCGCATGCGAACACCCCCATCGGTGGAGCTCCCTATGGGGCTACGAAACGCTGCCCTGGGTGGGGGAACCGCATGCGAACACCCCCACTGGGGCCTTCGGTGGAGCTCCCTATGGGCCACGAAACGCTGCCCTGGGTGGGGGAAGCGCATGCGAACTGCGCCACGGGGGCTTCGGTGGAGCTCCCTATGGGGCCACGAAACGCTGCCCTGGGTGGGGGAACCGCATGCGAACACCCCCACTGGGGCCTTCGGTGGAGCTCCCTATGGGGCACGAAACGCTGCCCTGGGTGGGGGAACCGCATGCGAACACCCCCACTGGGGCCTTCGGTGGAGCTCCCTATGGGGCCACGAAACGCTGCCCTGGGTGGGGGAACCGCATGCGAACACCCCCACTGGGGCCTTCGGTGGAGCTCCCTATGGGGCTACGAAACGCTGCCCTGGGTGGGGGAACCGCATGCGAACACCCCCACTGGGGCCTTCGGTGGAGCTCCCTATGGGGCCACGAAACGCTGCCCTGGGTGGGGGAACCGCATGCGAACACCCCCACTGGGGCCTTCGGTGGAGCTCCCTATGGGGCCACGAAACGCTGCCCTGGGTGGGGGAACCGCATGCGAACACCCCCACTGGGGCCTTCGGTGGAGCTCCCTATGGGGCTACGAAACGCTGCCCTGGGTGGGGGAACCGCATGCGAACACCCCCACTGGGGCCTTCGGTGGAGCTCCCTATGGGGCCACGAAACGCTGCCCTGGGTGGGGGAACCGCATGCGAACACCCCCACTGGGGCCTTCGGTGGAGCTCCCTATGGGGCTACGAAACGCTGCCCTGGGTGGGGGAACCGCATGCGAACACCCCCACTGGGGCCTTCGGTGGAGCTCCCTATGGGGCCACGAAACGCTGCCCTGGGTGGGGGAACCGCATGCGAACACCCCCACTGGGGCCTTCGGTGGAGCTCCCTATGGGGCCACGAAACGCTGCCCTGGGTGGGGGAACCGCATGTGGACACCCCCACTGGGGCCTTCGGTGGAGCTCCCTATGGGGCCACGAAACGCTGCCCTGGGTGGGGGAACCGCATGTGGACACCCCCACTGGGGCCTTCGGTGGAGCTCCCTATGGGGCCACGAAACGCTGCCCTGGGTGGGGGAACCGCATGCGGACACCCCCACTGGGGCCTTCGGTGGAGCTCCCTATGGGGCCACGAAACGCTGCCCTGGGTGGGGGAACCGCATGTGGACACCCCCACTGGGGCCTTCGGTGGAGCTCCCTATGGGGCTACGAAACGCTGCCCTGGGTGGGGGAACCGCATGCGAACACCCCCACTGGGGCCTTCGGTGGAGCTCCCTATGGGGCCACGAAACGCTGCCCTGGGTGGGGGAACCGCATGTGGACACCCCCACTGGGGCCTTCGGTGGAGCTCCCTATGGGGCCACGAAACGCTGCCCTGGGTGGGGGAACCGCATGTGGACACCCCCACTGGGGCCTTCGGTGGAGCTCCCTATGGGGCCACGAAACGCTGCCCTGGGTGGGGGAACCGCATGTGGACACCCCCACTGGGGCCTTCGGTGGAGCTCCCTATGGGGCCACGAAACGACAACTGGGGCCTTCGGTGGAGCTCCCTGGGGCGAAACGCTGGGTGGGGGAACCGCATGCGACACCCCCACTGGGGCCTTCGGTGGAGCTCCCTATGGGGCCACGAAACGCTGCCCTGGGTGGGGGAACATATGGAATGCCACGAAACGCTGCCCTGGGGCCTTCGGTGGGAACCGCATGTGGACACCCCCACTGGGGCCTTCGGTGGAGCTCCCTATGGGGCCACGAAACGCTGCCCTGGGTGGGGGAACCGCATGTGGACACCCCCACTGGGGCCTTCGGTGGAGCTCCCTATGGGGCACGAAACGCTGCCCTGGGTGGGGGAACCGCATGTGGACACCCCCACTGGGGCCTTCGGTGGAGCTCCCTATGGGGCACGAAACGCTGCCCTGGGTGGGGGAACCGCATGCGACACCCCCACTGGGGCCTTCGGTGGAGCTCCCTATGGGGCCACGAAACGCTGCCCTGGGTGGGGGAACCGCATGTGGACACCCCCACTGGGGCCTTCGGTGGAGCTCCCTATGGGGCTACGAAACGCGTGAGAGGTGTGCCGAGAGCAGAGGCAAGGAGGGGGAGGAGGGAGGAGGGGGAAGAGGAGGAGAGGAGAGGACGCGGGCACCGTCTCTTCAAAACGAGGACCCAACACCACAGGATGGTTGGGAATAAGCCTTCCTCCCCGAAAGACCAACAGGATGCCCAAAGAGGCGCCAAAGAGTCCCAAAAGATGCTCCCAGAGGCCCCAATACGGCCCCCAAGAGGCATCCAGACTTCCTCCAAGTGGCCCCCGAGAGGCCTCCCACAAGATCCCAACGAATCTCCAATATGCTTCATACCCACAACCCAGACCCAGTGGCGGGTTGGGACGAAGGCCATTAGATGTTGATGTGGTTTCCCAAGACAGCGCTTGCACTTAGGTTTTCAATATTGTTCGTCTGAGGGAGCTGGGCCAGGATGCTGGTATGGGCACTATGTTCTCTCCGTCGCCGCACCGTCGCCAGGAGGGCCTGGCCAGGCCAGGGCGTATACACAGCTCCTGGACTCAGGACGGGCCTGGCCAGGGACATGGTGCACCAATCATGGGACAAATCGCAGTGGCGCCTGGGTTTTTAGCAAGCACACTTGTGCTGTCCTGATTCGCGGTCGACGGAAGCCTGGAGCAGACGTAACCATGGCGTCGAGGCGCCCTTGGACACCACGGGCAGCCAAAGCCAACTCCACTTCCAGATGAACGTATGCCTGGCTCAGCGCTCTGGCAACGGACTCCCAGGGACAGGACACGCCACATAATACACGATGAGTGCCCTCAGGCGCAGGAAGATCTCTCGCGCGGGAATTTGAAGATGGACGTCACGGCGAGGCGCGGCACAACAGAGTAACGAGGGTGGGAGGGCAGGGTGACAGAGACGAGGAGGGCGGGAGGGAGGGCACCAGAGAGGAAGAGGAGGCTCACTCTCCTCCTTGTCCTCTACCCCCACTCTTCTTCTCCCCGCCCTTCCTCTGCGCGACGGCGAGGGCACGGCGCGGGCGCACGCGGGCGCGAGGAGAACGCGGAGGAGGAGGAGGAGGAGGAGGAGGAGAAGGAAGAGGAGGAGCGGCCCGCCTGAACTCCTTCTCCTTGAGGGCGAGCCCCTGGCGCGGGCGGGAGAGCGGGCGCACGAGCCCCCGCCCCCGCCATTGCAGCGCCCTGCTCCCGCTGCAGCCTCGCCCCTGCTCCCGATATGCTCCCCCCTGCAGCCTCTGGCCCTCCTCCCGGCCGCCATCCGCCGCGCCTCTCTCGCCCGAGCCGCCTCCTTGCCCTTCCTCCCTTTCTCCTCCGACCGCTTTGTTCTCGCACGCTCCCCATTACATCTTCCTCCTCCTCCTCCTCCTCCTCCTCCTCCTCCTCCTCCTTCTCTCCCTTGCTCCTGCTCCTCCTCCTGCTCCGCCTCCTCCTCCTCCTGCTCCTGTTCCTCCTCCTGCTCCTCCTCCTCCTGCTCCCCCTCCTCCTCCTGAACATATTCCTCCTCCTTCTCCCCCTTCTCCAGACCCACCCTTCTCTTTGAGGCTGCACGCCGCCCTGCGTCCTCCGCTCCCCTCAACCATCACTCCCCCGTCCGTCTCCTCCCCCGCGTCTGTGGCTGGTCCTTCCTCGGTTACCCTCCTCGTCCATCCCTGCATCGTCCTGCTCCCTCCTACGGCATCATGCCTCCTCCCCCGCCGTCGTTCCTTCTTCGCCCGTCTCCCCTGCTGCCTCCTCCCCAGAACGGACTGCGTGAGCGACCCGCGAATCCGGAAACGGACTCCGAACTGCGAGGCATGGAAACGTTTCACAGGGCCTCAACTGGGCGATGGGCAGTGGCAATGGTGTACAAATCTGTGGTGATGATACTGTGCCAGGGGCTGTGTTCTGCTGCGTTGCGCCGTGCTGTTCCGCACAGTGACATGCCAGCGGACGCGCCAAGGGAGATGCCACGGGACGCGCCAAGGGACGTGCCGGGGGACGCGCCGCGGAACGTCCCAAGGGACGCGCCAGGGGACGTGCCAAGAGACGTGCCATGGGGACGCATCGCAGGACGCGCCACTGAACGTGCCAATGGACGTGTCACAGGACGTGCCAGGGGACGCGCCGCGCGACGTGCCAGGGGGACGCGCCACGGGACGCGCCACGAAACGTGCCAAAGAACGAGCTATGCGACGCGCCAGGGGACGTGCCGGGGGACGCGTCAGGGACCGTGCCTCGGGACGCGGCACTGGACATGCCAGAGACGCGCTCGAGGACGCCCTGCGGATCACCTGGAGCCTCTTTGGATCCCCGCGCCCCGTTACTGGGCCACGCGATCCCTAGTAACTTACGCTGCGTGCGCGCTCCCTTGGCTATGATTCATCGCAAATTCCGCTGGGCTCGCACTCCCAGTGCCGCGATCACTAGTAACTGATGCTGCGTCCGCTCTCCCAAGGCCACAGTCCCTCGTAAATCACACAGCGTCCGCACTCGCAGTGCCACGACCTCTCGTGACATTACGCTGGGTTCGCGCTCCCAGTGCCACGATGCATCGCACATTACGCTCGGTCCATGGTAAGCTACGCAGGTATATCGAAAGTTGCCGAAGATACTCTGAAGGTACGTCGGACGCACTCTTCGAAGGTACGCTGTTGCTGTATTGCGTTTCAATCAGCAACGTGATTGAAGGTACGCCGCAGATCCGATGAAGGTATGCGCGTCCAAATTAGCGAAGGTGCCATGAATGCACGCAGAAGGTAGACAGGAGCGGGGAGGGGGGAGAGGACAGACCCCCCACTCCCCCCACCCCCCGAGACACCCCGAAAAGGGCCACACGCGACGGACCCAGAACAAAAACTCACTGCGGCGGGGCTGCGCCCCCAGGGCCGCGATCAACTGCAAACCGCGCTGCGCCCGCGCTCCCAGGGCCGCAATCCGCAGTGAGTTGCGCTGCCTCCGCGCTCCCAGGGCCACGATCCCCCGTGCGCCACGCTGGGCTCCCGCTCCCAGCGCTCAAGGCTCAAGGCCTTCGCTGCATCCTGAAGCGTGGCGGCGCGCAGCCACAGGAAGGGGGCGTGGGGGGCAACAGCGACCCTGGGGCCGACCGGAGGCGGTGACAACCGAGCGCGACCGGGGGTCCAGGAGGGCCGACCAGTCGGGTGCACAGACCGGGGGGTGCAGGAAGAGCACGGGCTGGCGAGTCGCGACCCCAAACACGTCCGCGGACGAGAGGGGGAGGCACGGGACGCATTGACAGAAGAAGAGGGGGCCAGAACATCAGGGAGATATCATGGCCCTGACCACACCCCCATCCACAGACACAATCGTCACCCCCCTCTTTGACGCGCGCGAGGACTAGCACGAATGAGAAAGGTCCTGGAAGAGAGGGGTTCTAGAAGGGCTCGAGGCCCCAGCGATGAATGGGCAAGCTGGGGACGTGGCGTCCCCCCCTGTGCCGATTCCCCCATCTAACGTTGCCCCTGATGACGGCCTGGGCACTGAAATCTTCACACCAGGCGTGTCCCCCGGGTTCGGGCCCCACGGCCATCCCAGACCGATTCGGCTCGTGGAAGTGCCACGGAGAGGTGGGGTCCAGGGCTCCCGTCGTCTGGTTCGCGATGCCTCATTGCTTTCGCAACGTCGGGCCTCAGAACCGGGGGGAAAGAGCGGAGGAAGAGGAGGAGATGAAAGAGGAGAAGGCAGGAGGGAGGAGGAAGAGGAAGCATGATGGACGGCGAGGGGGATAAGGAAGAGTGGGGGGGGGGAGGCAAGGCAAGGCAAGGGAAAGCGAGGCAGGGGCATCTGAGGTCCTGTATAAAATCAGCTGCGCTTGCCAGGTAGTCTCGGCGTGAACATACGGACACGTGGGGCCCGCGACTTCGATCGCTTGGCTTGCTGGCCCGGAGCGGAGAAAGAAGAGGCGGGACCGTTGAGGATGGCGGGGGGGGGGGACGAGGGCGGAGGCGAGAAGGGAAGAGCTCAGGAGAGGAAGGAGGGACGAGGAGGGAAAAAAGAACTCAGCATGGAATTCGGGCAAGCGGGGCGAAGCGGAAAATGGAGAAACTCCCAAAACGCTGGGGAGACTGGGGGGGGGGGGCGAAACAAAAACGGAAAAAAAGGGAGCCGAACAAAAAAGAAAAAAACACCGAGGACGCGGAGTGGCTGGTACGGCGGGTTCGGGCCGTGACGACCTGCGAATGGGTTCGTGGCGCGGCGTGGATCATTCAACCTTGACGGTCGGCGGTTTCCAATCTCGAGATCGTGTACCATCGGCCGATTCCAGACCACTGGCGGCGTTCAACCTTGAACGCCCGCGCTGGGGCCGCAGCAGCGTCGCCACGGCGCGGATCTACCGCATGGGGAGGAGGAGAAAAGAGGAAACAAAAGGAAGAGAGTCAGCGGAGGGAAACGGGCGGGAGGTGAAAAGCAGGCTCAAGCACAAAAGAAAGGCTTTGTCAGTAAACGCCCAGCATTTCTACTCCTCCTCCTCTTCCTTTTCCTCCTCCTCCTCTTCCTCCTCCTTCTCCACCCTTTAACTCAGTGGCCTCCCTGTCCTCAGGTACCTGACGGTGCCCAAGGCCCGAATAACTATGTCCAGGCACGCGCTCCATGTCGCCCCTGCAACACGAGGCAAGGTGCGCCATAATCCTTTTCTGGTTCAGGCTCGCGCACGCCATGTTGCACCATCATGCGGTCCGCGCCCGGTCTCATTGATTGCAACTCCGTCCTCTGGTTCTCTCCAATTGACCTCCGGAAGACAGCTTCTATAAGAAACCCCTAGTAGATCATTTGACGTTGAAATGAGCCCTCCAGCACGGCTCGACAGAACCGGACCAGATATGCCTCCAGCCCCCTCTGTCTGCCTACTCCAGTTGACTCGATACATCGACGCTGGCTGCATCATTTCGCACTGATGGTCATTCGGGTATTTGTGCTGCTGGTCATGAGCCAGGCGGAAGATTCCTGACCGCCCACTCTCCTCTTCGACCTGCTGCAAGTCCTAGTTGCACAGATCGCCGCCATGTCTTCGCACGCCTGCGAGCTGTCACATTCTCTGCGCTGGCGACGAGGTCCAGCTTGAAGCTCCCGTAGGGCGCTGACACAGAGATTATACCCTTTGTTTTCCTAACTCGCACGCAGATACAACGCGAACGAGATGTGCTCGCCCCAGTGATCTACCAGGCCCTGCATCTTGTCTGGCCCCACGCGCTGTGTAAGACATGCTTGTTGCCTGTTGAAGGCTGCCCGCGCAGCGGGATTTGCTGTCGCTCGCGTCGCCACGCAAATAAAAACCAAAAGGCCCCCAGCTGCATCGCGCGTAGTCAAGTCCAGTGTCAAGGAGACGTGGCCTGGATCTGTCTCCGCCAGGCCGGCAAACAAGACTGGCGAGCAGGTTTCGGAAACATGCGACTGCGCAGCATGTTGGTCTTTGCCGCGTAGGCAGGCCCCCCTCCCCAATTGCAATCGCCACTTTGGTGACGAGCAAATCATCATTGAGCAACATCTTCGCAACTACGGTGTCAAGACCCATCATGTAAGACCCGGCGAGTACTTCATTCGCGTTGAGGGCATCCCGTCGCGCGACGGCTCGTCTCATTGCTCACGTTCGCGATGCTGGGTCCATGGCTAATCTCGACCTCGGGGCCCTCATCCAGTCCCAGATCATTCCCGCCTTCTTCCGTTGCGACTGCCCTGGCTCTCTCGTCATCTTCGATTTCCTCCGGCTTTCTCTGCGCCGCCGACGTCCGTGATCGAATGGCTTCGGCTGGTCGCGCGTCGCCATCGCCCGCAGAGGCGACGCGGAACTCAGCCCATCCAGCCCAACGCCCTCGAACGCAATATTCGCCTTCGTCTTCCTGATCGTCGTTCATGTCATCCATCTCGGCGGTGCCCCGATAGACATCGCCCTCATATCTCTAGGCGCGCACATCTTGGTATATATTTAAAGTTTTGCCGGGTGGCTTGCCCGGTCTTGATGGCCGAAAAAAGCATCGATGGGCCCCCGCCATTCTCGTCGCGCCCGGCGCCGCCCGGCCCCGCCCTCTTTCGGCGCCCGAAATGGGCGCGGAAAACATGGGCGCAATGCCCAACAACATAAATTGCCCAAAACCCACCGCGTTGGGCAGGCGGCTTTCTGCCTCGAATTGGCGCATACCGCGGCGGCGCGGACAGCGAACGCTGTTCAAAATGAACAAAACATGTTCTAAATTATTGTGCCCTTTGTTTCCGCGCCCATTTCGTTCGCGCCGATCAAGATTTGGGCCGCGGGTCTGCCCTTCGAGCCAGTCGGCGACACTCGCAGTGCATCCTGGAGCGCCGCGCTGGATGACCCACCATCGCTTTGGAGGATTCCTCTCGCGGCTAGCGAGCATAACCACGCCCCGAAGTACCTTGAAAGGCAAAGGCCAACAGCCGGCCCCCGGCTACCAGGGCGCCCCGGTAACGCGTCACTGCGACGAGATTGTCTGCGCCCCGCCTCTTGCCCACCTCCCTTCGTTCACCTGCGCCGCGCGCGTGCGATGGGGGTCGCAGGTGCTCCTGCCCCCGCGAGACCACCCTCCGCTTGCGCGCTCTCGCCCTTGCCCCCCTCCTCGCGCAGCACGGGCGCGAGCGCCGAGATTATAACTGAGAGCGCTTGCCCTTGAGTCGCAGACCATTCCCCCGAGCAATCCAGCCTCTGCCCTCAACTGCCCCCGTCCTCGCCCTCTTGGTGGTCCTCCAAATGCGCTGCGACTGCCTTTTTACTGGTGCTTAAGGGCTCGGCCAGACTCAACGTAAAAAGCCCCGCGTGAAAGTTCCCTGCCCAGGAAAGCCCTCGCTTCTCCTCTCGAAAACCTCATCCACATGTCACGCGCCCTCGCGACTCGCAGCTCCATTCGCAAACTGGACGGTGGACTGGAAGTGGCAAACGTTCCCGCGCGTCGTCGCCAGGCGCCCAGTTGCCTCGTGCTCAAGGGAAACGCAGGATCACCCATCGCCTCTCTCGGTCTCACAGACGCCACGCGAGTTCCCACAAAATACAATCGTCTCCGTCCAGCGCCCCTCCCCCTCACCGGTCTGTCGCCTACTCCCCTGCGAGGGCTTCTCCACATCCGCGAATAACTGCTGCTCGCGTATTTGCGCGTCCAACTTGCCCCCGGCTTTGCGCAGGCAACGCCGCGCTCGTGCAAGGCCTCCCGGACCCTCCTCTTAGTCACCGGATACTGCGTCAACCATGCCCTCTGGTCGATCATGTTGCTATGATGTTGCCGGTAACCCCGCCGCTCTCGGCACCTTCGCCTCTTTCGACGCTGTTGCGTCAAGGCCCAGTGGATGGGTGCGTCCCCGCATCTGCGCGGGCCCACCAAGACCTCCCGCCCCCCCTGTCGCGGGGCGACCCGACCCCGTTGGCGCGTCCGGGGGGCGGGCTGCGAAGCGGCACCTTTGTTGCCGCATGCGTACCACTCCCTCTTTCTTGCCAGCACACATCCTCCCTTGTCCTTTCCTTTCCATCCTGGGAATGTCTCCCTTGGCAACCTCCTGGGGCATCCCCTTGGCGGCCCCCTTTGGCGCAGCCCCCCGGGTAGTCCGTGGTGCTTTCGCATCCGTCTTTGAATCTTCCTTCTTGCGCACTCCAGTGGCCTTAAGCGCCTCTTGCATTGCCCTGCTGTCACCCCCTTTCCGGTGGAGTTTCCTTTAGTTGCGCAAGTTCAGGCAATGTGCCCATATCTTGTGAACTTGTCACACGTGGGCCCACATTCGCACATGATTCTCGCTCCAAGTCCACGAATTCCTGCTTTTCATCATAGTGGCTGGAAACGTTGGCGCCTGTGTTTTGCCGTATCCCCATGGCATTGTATTTTGTCGTGCCGGTATCCCATCGGTTTTGTTGCCCAGTCTTATTCCATAAAGAGTGTTGGTGGGCACTTGATGAAGAAGCTTGGTGTTGTTCTGGTATGTTTTGCCTCTGGCGTCTTGCCAATTGTCTAACCAATCGCGGGCGTGAGTCGTGATAACCCTCCACGCGGTCACCCTGACTGGTCCTGGGAACGAGTCTGCGGGCCACTCGTTCGAAGGGCTGCCACCGGCGGGCTCCATTGCTTGAGCTGGGTCGCCACATCATTAACCTTCTTAGGCTTCCCAGGGTGAATGGCAAGGTTCCCGTTGCGTGAAAGCGTGACAAAAAAACCCGCGTGCCACCAGACCAACTAGAGCATTCCGCGAGGCCCCGTGCCCTCGAACTCGTCTTTCAAAAAAAAAATGCAGGAGCTACTCGTCCAGTTTGGTGTAGCCATCTTCGTCTTAACCATACTCCCCATTTGCATAATATCCCACTTTTGTGATAAACGATACCTTCTGTGTTATTAAACCAATGTCAACATTACGTTCATGACTTTGATCAGGTCACCCTCCTCGTCGCCAGGTTGCGCCCGGCCCATGGTTTCGAGTTTGCCGCTCAAATTCGTAAGGGCGGTTTGCCTCACCAGGGAGAGCGCATTCAGCAACATCTCGCTCCATTCTCTGAACTAGGTCCTGTCGCCAGAAAGCGTTTTCAAGTGCTGGACAGCTCTCATTCGCTCACAGGGTTGTTTCCGCCTCCTCCTGCCCTGGCGGTTCCCGTCGACCCTTTGCCTCAGAGATCTTGGCAACTGATTCCGAGGCTTTCGCCTGGTGTTGGAAATCTTCCTCACATGTGCCTTCGGGTTGCTGAACTGACGTTCGCAAACCATGTTGCTGGTGATGAATGAAAGATGGAGAGCACCAATTCGGAACCCACCAAAAGTACCAACATTCGAACTCATTCATCAATGCCAACACTTCTCGTGCCTTGCGTGGCACTTCGTTCATTGAGCAAATCAATTCCCTCGCGGCATAGTTATGCGAACTGTTTTTGTTTAGGTTGCACCAATCTTCAAATATCCTATGTAACGTTACGTTGTAAACCCGGTCGGGGTTGCCGGGTTTCATGGGGGTCGTTGCAGCGGCCGCCGCTGAGTGGCGACCGTCCGGAAGCTAAACTTTGCACACTGCATGCTGAAAACACGCACCAGACCCAACCAGTCGCAACGCTATGTACAACACAACCTCCTTCTCCACCTCAGCCCCGATCTCCCCCTCAATTTCCTCGTCAACATCCTGCTCCTCCTGCTCCTCCTGCTCCTCCTCCTCCGCCCCCTCCGTCCTCTCCAAGGTCCTCATCAACTCCCCCCCTTCCCAGACTCATCGTCCTCACCCTCCTCCTCCTCCTAAGAAGGCGCCTCGGGCATCAAGTATCTCAGAGCCTGCTGCAAAAAGACCAAATCCTTGGCGTTATTCTCGCCTCCCGGTGCGCTGCGCGGCCGCCTCCGCTTACCACATCTCCGCCTCCTGCTCCACCTCAGTCTCCTACTCATCGTCCTTTCCTCCCCCTGCTTTTCCTCGCCTCTCCTGCCCCCACCCCGCAGCCTTCTTAGCCTACGGAGCGTCGTCGTCGTCCTCATTCTCCTCCTCCCCATCCTCCTTCTCATCCACATCCTCATCCTCCGCATCCGCCTCCTCTTCCCGCTCCGTCCAGAACCATGATACTCCTGAGCACCCCTTCGTACCTCCCGTTCCTCTCCTCTTCTCCTCCTACTCCTTCGCATCCTCAACAACGTTCTGCTTGACTGAACATCTCCAACTCCTCACCCTTCTCTTGCATAGGTTCCTCGACCTTCTCCTCCTCCTGTTTGTCGTCCTCTTCCTCCTCCTTCTCTTCCTCCTTCACTCCGCCGCGCACTGTCACTGAAAATTGCGCATCCTCGCCCAGCGAGACCGACAACACTGCAGCGACATTGGCGCGAGAACGCCCACTCGTATGCGCCCCGCCTTGCCTTGCGTCCCCTCTCGGGCTTACCTGCTCCGCGCAGCTCATGAGATTCGCGTCGCCCCTGCTACTTTCGGTTCAGGGCGGCCTCCGCGCAATCGTGACTATTGAAGGGGCCTTGGGCCACACACACACATAAATACACACATAACAGGATTCCCCATATTCTCCTATCTGCTCTGGTGTTTTCGTCTTCACTTCCCATAGTTTCCCATATGTTCTGGGGAAGCGACGATTAATTGTGTCTGTGTGTGTTTTCCCTCCTGAACTATGCTACTCGTATTCCCTCGACTGCCACTGCACGCGGCGAGACGCCACCGATCAGCCTCCTCCTCCTCTTCCTCATGCTTCCGTTGCTCCTCCTGCCCCCTCCCGCCTCATCCTCCAGGCATCACTCCCCCTTTCCTCGTCCTCACCCCTTCCCTGAGAAGCTCCTCCGAGGCCTTCCTGGCCCTCTTGAAGGGAGCCTCTTTTTTTTTGGCTCCGGGCAAGTTTACTTGCATGGACGGGGGAAGGGGGGCTGAGTCTGAAGCAAGCCGAAAACAATTCAACGTGCGGAAATCACGCAAGTCGAAAGTCATCGCACCTCTGAGGCAATTTCATTTAGCAGAACAATCCGTGCTCGAACTCCAAGACTCCCGCAGACTCGAATCGCTCTGAGAGGCCCGAAAGAACCCCCTCAATGACTCGACCTAATGCGCTGGGTAAGCTGATCAGACTGACTCACCGAGTCGGTAAAACAACACTCTGGTTCAGGCTCTCGCTGAACTCCTGGGTCGGGTTCACTGGTAATTCCTTTCGGATACGGGCCGCAGCGGCCTCAGACAGTTCGCCACGTTCAACCAATTGCCAATTCAGCCAGTTATCCGCTGCCGAACGGGTTTCACTGGCAGAAATCTTCAAGGATCCTTGCAAATCTTACAAGAATCGGCGGCACCATGGAAGAATCCTTCAGGAATCATTCAGGAACCCTTCCGGGATCTTCAGCGATCCCGTGGAAATTTCAAGTATCCTCCGGAATCCTCAGAAAGCCAACAGACCTCTCAGGAGTATGCACGGGAGCTGCAGGAATGCTCCAGGAAACCTGCAGGAATCCTTCAGGACTTCTCAAGAACCCTCAAGGATCCCCAAGCATCCTACGGAGGTCGTTCAGGGATCATTCGGGAGTCCTCAGGAATCTACAGGAATACACCGGAAACCGCAGGAATCCTCAGGAGTTGTTCGAGAATCCTCAGGACCCCCAAAAAATCTGCCAGGAATCTCTCCAGGAACCCTTACCCAGCCACCTGGAACCCTCGGGACCCCGCGGGTTCTGCCAGGAACCCCCAGGGACCCCATTGATCAGCCCTCGGAGACCCCCAGGACCTCTTCATGAACATTCAGGAGCGCTCAGTAACCCGTTGAGCCAAGACGCACGCCCCGGGCCTCGTCACTTCTGTGGGGTGCTGCCAGGCCCGCCTTTGACTGCCAGTCAGGCTCGGGCGGGCCCGAGCGGTTCACAGCGCCATCAACGAGTCGACGAGGAGGAAGGCAGACAAAGAGGAAGAAGAGAGCAGACGGGTCAGGATGCCTGAGAGGACCAAGGACATGACTCCTCCTCAGTGGCAGCCTCCTCCCGCGGCCTCCCTCCCCGCCCCTCCCTCCGCACAGCTCCCCCGCCCTCCTCCTCCGTCTCCCTCTTCCTCCCTCCTCCTGCTCCGCCTCCAGTGGCAACCTCCCCCCGCGTCCGCGTGCCCCAGTGGCAGCCTCCTCCCGCGGTGCACCCTCCCTATAGGGGAACAACCAGTGGCACAAACAGAAAAACTCGGAGGTCCGCGCGGATTTCTCGGATCCGCGCTGGGGCCCCCCGGCGGCGCCTCCGGCGCCGCCCCTGGCGCGCTCCGCGCGCCAGGGGCGGGGGGTCCAGCGCCGATCCGAGAAATCCGCGCGGACCTCCGAGTTGTTATGTTTATGCCACTTGTTGTTCCCCTATTCCCCGCCTCTCCTTCCGCACAGCTCCCCCGCCCTCCTCCTCCTCCTCCGTCTCCCTCTCCCTCCCTCCTCCTGCTCCCGCACCTCGTCCCTCCTCCTGCCTGCGTTCTCCCTCGCCGTCGTCGCCGCCGCTCCCTTGTCTGGTGGCGTCGCCGACGGCGGGAGGAGCCCCGCCCCTCCTGCGCTCTCCCTCGAGAGCTCCTCGTGGTGCTCCTGCGCCACGTCGACCTCCTGCGCACTTCTCTCCTCAGCGTCCCTGGGCCTGGCAAGGGTTCGGTCGGGCCTGTCCCCCCACAGGGGGAGTTTGGGCGAAAAATATAGAAAGAACCACAGCATATTCCAGAAAATCTCAAAAATAGTCAAACATCGTCCCCTGATAATTGCTTTACTGCTTTTGAGTATTCCTCCCGTAGAGGGGCAAGCCCGACTTAAGGCAAGGGCAGGGCGCCGCAGTGGCTCGGCGACGCCGCCCTTCGCCGTCGCCGTATCGGCGTGGTCGGCGGCGTCGTGGTGCCTGCCGTGGCCGACGTCATCGGCATCGCCGATGTGCTCGGCGTCGCCGTCGCCGCTACCGTCGGAGGCGACGTCGCCGCCGCCGCGTAGCCTCCGCCGTCGTGGCCCTGGCCGCGGCCGTCGATGTGGCTGTCGTCCGCGTCGTCGTCGCCGCCGTCGTGGCCGTCGACGTCGTGGTCCTCTTCGCCCGCGCCGCTGCCGTCGTGGCCATCGCCGGGGCCGCGGTCGACGTCTCCGCCATAGCCGTCCGTGCCGTGGCCTTCGCTGTCGCCGTGTCCTGGCCGCCGCCGCGATCGTCGATCCCGTCGTCGTCAGCGTCCGCACTGTTCGGGCGTTGGTAGGACCTGGGTTTCGTGGTTCCTGGTCTAGAGCTGTGTACCAGGGGGCGCCACCTAGGCCCGACCCACTGACCAAAAACGCCGCCACTCGCACAAACAGCAACTGCAACATACCTGATTTGACCAGTCCGTCCCATGATAGGGGGCTTCGGGCCCATTCCGCCCGCTTCCTGAGGAGGGAAGAAGGATAGCCACTCCACTCTTCAAGTAGGAAGGCGCCCAAAGCGGATGAGGAGTTGGGCATCCAAGGATACCTGGCTTCAACGACTGGCGTGTAACCATTCTGGCTCATTTTGGGGCTTCGGGCCCATCCATTGCCCCCCGCTCTGCCCAAGGTCCTGGTCATCTCCGAACCGTCGCCGTCGCCGTCGTCGTGGCCGTCGTCGCCAGCTGCGGAGCAGGCGGCGGCGCGCGGGGAGGCGCCGCCCCGCCGGCCTGGCGGCGGAGCCCGCGGACGCCTCCGGCGCCGGCTCCCCGACGAGGCCCTGCGGGCAGCAAGGCGGGCTGTTGTCGTCGTCGTCCGGTCGGGGATCGCGATTCGAGGATCGAAGCTTCTGGGCCTCCGTGGATCTTCCGGCGTCACAGAGGGGGGCGTCCGAGCGGGAGGTTCGCACATCATGGCCCGAGGCGTGTGCGCGGAACAAGGGGCCATGGGTTCTGGAGAGACACCATGGCCCTGGCCATGATATTAGGGGAACAAAAAGTGGCACAAACAAAAAAAAATCTGAGGTCCGCGCGAATTTCTCGGATCCGCGCTGGAGCCCCCCGGCGGCGCCTCCGGCGCCGCCCCTGGCGCGCTCCGCGCGCCAGGGAGGGGGGTCCAGCGCCGATCCGAGAAATCCGCGCGGACCTCCGAGTTTTTATGTTTATGCCACTTTTTGTTCCCTAGATATCAACTCAGTCCTAATCATCACCAGCCCCTTGGCCGCTCCCGAGCGATTCTGGCAGCCACGAATGAGATGCCCCCAGGATCCTGGTCAGAGCGCGCGACGGGTCGAGGGGTTCCGTTGCTTCGGCGACGACTCGCCGGCGATGCGTACACGGCGGTCTGCGCGGGCATCCAGCGCGGCATCGGTCTTCGATGCAACAGACCCAAGATGTCTGGCGCAGTAGCCGTCGTCGTCGAGGCTCGCTCTTGCTGGGCGTTGCCACCCATTTTGGGGCCTCAAGGAGCTGAACAGTGGGGGGGGCCACGGCTCTGTTCGCTCAAGCGCACGTTGATCCACCGCATATGGCGTCGCGTATGGCGTCTAAGCCAAGGTCCAGACCACATGGAAGGCATATGAAGAGCCCCTGCCAAACACCGCCGCTTCTACACATGCGCTTACTGGCGCAGCGCACGCGAACAGTGGACGAGGCCGAGCCGACGCGAGGCGATTGACTTTTTTATTGTGTTGTTTCTCTCCTTCTCTCTCATTTCTCCAGCTTTTTCTCTCTATCCCTCTCTATTCATCTCTCTCTCTCTCTGTATCCGTATCTCTCTCGCTCATTATCTCCCTCGCTCTCTCGGTATCGCTGTCGCTTTTCTCAGTCTCTCTCTCTCTCTCTCTCCCCCTCTCTTTCACTCTCTCTCTCTCTCACACTCCCTCTCTCTCTGTATACATGTGTGAACGTGTATGCAAATAGCACGTGCGTGCCCAGGATCACACAACAAAACAGCGGTGGGGGCACTGGTGGGGTTACCAAACCTTGCAATTACACGTACAATTCAGACGCATGACATGGAACTGCGAGTCAGGGATGATTTTTCAACCAGATAACTCAGCAGTCGGTAACTACACTGGGAACCAAAGGGCAAGTATATTCCAGCAGTTGTGTGCACCAGCGCTGCATTCGATTGCGTGTGGGGGTTTTCTGTACAATGCTGGATACCTACACATGAAACTACCGACGCACTACTAGCGCAGTGTATATGTGTGCAGAAACATTTGAGACTCCCTGTGTGCTTGAAAGCTTGAACCAATTGTGTGTGTGGTGCCCCTGGTGCCGCGATCTGCGTTAAAAGCACGTCGGATGTGCAAACTTATCCGGATGTGCTGAACAAAACGGCAAGAACAAACGCGGAAGGCGTCACCAATCCGGCACCGTGTCGACGGCACGTTGAGACGTGGAAGAATGCCAAGGGCTGCCTGGCAGGGTTTCTGTAATCTTCAACGGGATCCCCCACCCGAGCTGGTAGCACCCAGCCGACCTCACCACTCTCACTCTGGGGGAGGTCCTGGGCGACCATGGTCCCCCCCGGAGCTCTCCAAGGCTTCCATGACGGCCCACGACGCCCCCGAAACGGTCCAAGAGGGCCCCGAGTCACCGAACGATCGCTCGGACGCCCAAGATGACATCACAATGGCCCAAGTAACCTCCAACACGCCTCAAAATTCCCCAAGAGGCGTCCCAGGAGGTAAGCACAAGTGAGTTCCCGAAGGTTTTGGGGAAATTGTGGCGGTCTCGCATGTGCGGCCTTCCGACGTCCCAAGACGGCCATGGATGCTCCCAAGACCACCCCAAAACGGTACAAGAAGCCTCCAAGAAGGCCCCACGCGCCTCATAACGCCCCAACAGGGCCCAAAAGGGCCCCGACACGGCCCCGAAAGGGGCCCATAAGAGAGGAACAGAAATCGAAACTCCAAGCTGTCCGCCCCAAAAGGCCCCCAGGAGACCCCAAGAGGCGCCCAAAACGCCCCGAGAGACCCCCAAGAGGTCCCCAAGGATTTGCCGCAGGCAGCTGGATAATCGCTAGCGAGCGTTATTCCCCCGGAGAGGCGCGCATGATTTAGTAGTATACTTGGATACATATCTACATATACTAGACATACATATGCCAATGATAATACACTTATATATACATAATACATACATGCATGTCTACATGTGTATATATGACTACTAAGCATATGTAAACTATCGCGCGCGCGATTCGCGGGCGCTCAAGTTCCAGCTAAGCTCGACAGGCGAACGCATGGAATATCAATGGTTGAAATGCCTTGTGCATGTAACGACCTTCTTGGAGTCCCTGCGCAAGCCTCGGAAGCGTATAGAAGGGGAAATGCGGAAACCAAGGAATGATAATTCCCTCAAGGTGTTCAATGATTTGGGACATTCGAAGGCTTCCTGTGAACTTTCTTCAGTGGTGACGGGGGCCTTCATTATGACCTGGTGTGCAACAAAAATAAGCAGGGGGTAAGTTCGAAAAATAGGAGTCAGTAGAATTCCTTTTTTCAAATTGCCATGCCTGGGCTGTGGGACAGAAGTCTCCGGGATACAGGCCATGGTCTTTTGGGATGGCCCTCGGGGCCTTTTTTGGCGGCGTCTTGGATGTCTTTTGGGGCCTCTTGGGGGGCTCTTGGTGCCTCCTGGGAGCCTCCCGGGAGTCTCCGCAGGCATCTGGGGGGCGCCTCGAGAACCTCTTGGAGAACCTTGGTGCCACCTCGGGGCAAAGCGCTCGCAAGGTTTTGGGAGGTCCCCTCTTTTGTCTCTTTCTTTGCGCGCGCGCTGACGTTCTAGCAAGGCTGGGCAGGTGAACTCATGGGCTATAGATGTTTTACGGTGGTTTCAGGAGCAGCCAAGAAGACACGAAGACGACACAAGAGAGTGCCAAGACAGCGTCAGAGAGTTCAACTGTACTCCCAAACAGTAGTAGCAATGTGACCCCGAAGTCTTATGGGGTTCGGGATGAACTTGAACAAAAAGATCAGTAGAATTATTTTTCTCAAATGGGGCCTCCTGACATGTAGTGCACAGGAATCGTGGGAGGGGGGCTCGAGAGCGTTGGAGACTCGAAAACGCGAGAAGGCTAACAACTTCAACACGAAAACAATGACAATCACGAGTTTGGCCTCTTCGGGCGCTCCTGGGACGCCTCTCGGAGCTCTCTTGTCTTGGGGCCCCTTGGAGGCCTCCTGGGAGCCTGGAGAGTCGTCACAGTCTGTCTTGGGCGGCTTGGGAGCGTCTTGGGCCGTCCTTTCGCGTTCTTGGGGCTCCTTAAGGGGCGTCTTGGGCCGTTATTGGGCGTGTTGGGGCCGGGGGCGCGGTACCTGGAGCTGCCCCTGGATGTTCCAGAGGTGGGGGGACGCTCCCGGGGAAGGGCCAAGGGGGGCCAAGGGGAATGTATAAATCTGTTGATCTATGTATATTTATATATGATATGTATATATATATATGTATATGAATGTTGTATATATAAATAAGCTGTGGCATGTATATATATATATATATATACATATGTGTGTATGTATGTATGTATATATATGTATATATATGTATATATACATGCACACAGAGAGAGAAGGAGCAAGAGAGGGAGAAAGAGAGTGAAAGAAGTAGCAATACACATAGCGAGACGGAGAGGAGATAGGAAGAAAGCACACATAGGTGATCTTAACCCTGCCCCCTCTCCAGGGCCGCCAGTGGATGATTTATCAGGTCTGCAACAAGGCGCATCTTCCAGAGGCTGTAGAAAGGTGCAGCGCCCAGGCGCAACTCGGAGATGGGAGATCCCCCCAAGTAGCCGCAAGCGGATTGACCACGCAGAGAATGCATCCCGACGGGGAACGGGAGCGAGAAGGAGCGAAACGGGAAGCAGAGGACAAGGGAGGCGGGTGACTTGAGCATGCACGTCGACGGACGACGTCGATACGGCGAGCACCCAAGGGTCAAGAACGTCAGCTTGACAAGAACGAACGAAAGCTAACCCTGCTTCATCGTGTCCAGAGCTTGGCACATCCTCAACAGGCTGTGGAAAAAATTAGGCGCCCAAGCGCAACTCGGAGACCCCCCGACCTTAGTAGGAAAGAAATGGCCCAGATACGAAAAACATCGAAACAAACCAAACACAGAACTCACGGCTTAGAATCATTCCATAGCGCAGATACCCGAAGCGATACAGTGGCATCGATCATGGACGAGGCGATAGCACGGCAGATCTGGCGAGGAGAGGCAGCGGCGATGGCGGCCCAATGCTTACCCCCAGAAGCATGTCCTGAGACCTCCTCGTGCGGCCGCCCCGTTCAAAGGCACCGGCTACCGCGAGACTGTCGCCATCTGCCCTGACGAAAGAACGCGTGCACGGAGGGGGACACGAACGACCAGGCGGCAGGGGAGAGGACACCTGGGCGGTCCATGCCTCGCGCCTGACGGCCCTGGTGCCGCCAGGGCGGCGAGGAGCAACACCGTGCAGGAGGACGAGAAGAGGGGGAGGAGAAGAAGGATAGGCAACGGCAGCAAGCGAGAGTCAGGGGGAAAGAAAGAGGCAAAAGAGAGAAGCGAGAAAGGTGCCCCCACATCTTCCCCCCCCTCCCCCCATCGGCCTGGTTGGCGCCGTCGTGCAAGGGCTGCTGCGCGGCCACGCGCCGCTGCAAATTGATCTGCTCGCACCTCGCGGCAGCCGCCGACCCCCTGCCACACTCCGCCGAAGAGAGGCTCTAGGATCGAGGTTCGAGCATCGATGATCGGGACTCGAGGATCGAGGTCGAGGATCGGTGCTCGGGGATCGAGGATCGAGCATCAAGGTTCGGAAATTGGGGATCGAGGGCTTCGAGCTCCTCGGAGGATCGCGCGCGCGCTGTTGCAGCGGCTGTCCGCAGTGCGAGACTCGACCCTTTGTTGCGGGGCGTATCTCTCTCGTGACAGGAAGACGCCAGGACGCGACGAGGAACCAGCCTGGGCCTTTGTGTCTGCGGCGCGAGTCCTAGGGCGGCGGGCCCGCTAGAAGGTACGCACGACTGCTGGATACGTGCAGGTGTGCAGAAGTATAAGCATAGTGTGTAGACATGCGCGCATACGTTGCAGATCACGAGGAATCGCGGATGTGTACAGTTTCCCAAGACAGGACATGCAATGCATCCAGGTATCCCTGTGGCCTCGTATCCCATATACTGCTCGCAAGGAAATCCTCCAGACACGGATCCGGGAGCCTGGTGACACTGGTGGGGGTAAGTCACGTCGTCGCGTGCAAGAGCATGGTACAGCATAATTCCCTCTTCTGTACCATCCAGACCGATGAGCAGCCACGGCCGCCCCAGCTGTGGAGGCCAGGCGGGACTACCTCGGGGAGCTGTCTGTGCGCATTCTCCAGGGAGGCGGCCAAACTCAAGCACGCAGCATGAAGGACAAGAAAACGATCACCATGACCAAGGCTGAGCGCTCAAACGTCGGTGTCGATCTTGGTCGTCGTCCATGTTTGCCATCGTCAATTCGTGGATCGTCCTCGCGAACCGGTGACGGCGGGCACGGACCACGACCAAGACCGACGCCGACAAGATCCCATGACACCTTGGTCATGGTCGCCAGGGGCAGAAGAGCCCAGAATCGAATCGACAAGTCGAATCGGCGATTGAAACCAATCGGATCGGCGGAAATCGGCAGCCGAGTCGGGAGAAGCCGAATCGGCAGAAATCGGCAGGCTAGTGGGCCTCCATGGAGAAACCGAATCCCAAATCGGAATCCGATGCCGACTCGAACAGGAACCGAAATCCATCGAGATCGAATCAAACAAGAATCGGAGGCATCGAGACGAGCCCTGCCAGGGAGCGGCCAGAGTCCCGCCCAGGCCCTTCTACGCGACCAAGAGCAGGCAGACCCCGAGCCACGACCCAGAGACCGGTCCAGCTCCTCCTCCTCCTCCTCCTCCTCCTTCTCATCCTCCTCCCCCTCCTCCTCCTCCTCCTGCTCCTCCTCCTGCTCCTCCTCCTCCTCCTCCTCCCCCTCCCCCCCCTCCCACCCCCTCCCCCCCCTCTCCTCCTCCAAGAGCACGGCGGCCCCGACCCACGACCCGCGAGCAAGCAAAGAACGGGCTCGGAGCGGCGCGCCGGGCAGCCTGCAGGCCCGTGCACTGGACCTTCTGCTCTGTTGCGACGGAGTGGCGATACAGTCGGGCTGCCGACAGAAGGAGCGCTAAATCAGGAACGAAGCCCCTCTGTGGCTTCACAAGAGCCTCCTCCTCCTCCTCCTCCTCCTCCTCCTCCTCCAACTCCTCCTTCTCCTCCTCCCCCTCCTCCTCGCCTCCTCCTCCTCCTCCTCCTCCTCCTCCTCCTCCTCCTCATCTTCCACGGCCTCCGTCTCCGCCCACTTCGTCGACGACGTCGTGGTCCTCTTCAGGGTCGGCGGCACCGGCCGTCGGGCCCTCGCAATAGGGAGCGCTGGATCAGGAACGGAGCCCCTCCGTGGCTTCAAAAGCTCCTCCTCCTCCTCCTCCTCCTCCTCCTCCTCCTCCTCCTCCTCCTCTCCTCCTCCTCCTCCTCCTCTTCCTTCTCCTCCTCCTCCTCCTCCTCCTCCTCCTCCTCCAACTCCTCCAACTCCTCCTCCTCCTCCTCCTCCTCTCCTCCTCCTCCCTCCCTCCCTCCCTCCCTCCCTCCCTCCTCCCTCCATCCCTCCACTCCCTCCCTCCACTCCCTCCCTCCTCCCTCCCCCTCCCTCCCTCCCTCCCTCCTCCCTCCCTCCCTCCTCCTCCCTCCCTCCCTCCCTCCCTCCCTCCTCCTCCTCCTCCTCCCTCCTCCTCCCTCCTCCCTCCTCCTCCTCCTCCTCCTCCTCCTCCTCCCTCCTCCTCCTCCTCCTCCTCCTCCTCCTCCTCCTCCTCCTCCTCCTCCTCCTCCTCCTCCTCCTCCTCCTCCTCCTCCTCCTCCTCCTCCTCCGCTGGATCAGGAACGGAGCCCCTCCGCTGGGTGCACGAGCAGGGCCCGAGGAGCAGCCACGGAGGGACGTGAGAGGAGCCTCGAGCCCCTTCCGGATCCAAACTGCTCCTCATGTCGGCGTCTTGGCCGTAGCACCGTGCGTGCCCCCCCATTGTGCTCCGAGCACGTGCGAGGCACACCTATGACGCGAGGGAGAGATCGAGAGAGATCGAGCCACGAGAGCAGCCACGGAGGGACGTGAGAGGAGCCTCGAGCCCCTTCCGGATCCAAACTGCTCCTCATGTCGGCGTCTTGGCCGTAGCACCGTGCGTGCCCCCCCAGAGCACGTGCGAGGGACGCGAGGGAGAGATCGAGAGAGATCGAGCAATGAGGACGGTCCGCAGCATGGAGGAGAGGGGGAGGAGGAGGAGGAGGAGGAGGAGGAGGAGGAGGAGGAGGAGGAGGAGGAGGAGGAGGGAGGAGGAGGAGGAGGAGGAGGAGGAGAGGGAGGGAGGGGGAGGAGGAGGGGGAGGAGGAGGGGGAGGAGGAGGAGGAGGAGGACCTCCAGAAAGACATCGTGGAGCTGGAGTGGCCGAACCTCCTGCTGCGGCGGCTCCTCACCCTTCCCCTCCCTTCCCCCAGCAGGGAGGTTTCCAGCTTGTCCTGGGAGGCGTCAGGGCAGTCCTCCTCCTGCTACTCCTCCTCCTCCTCCTGCTCCTCCTCCTCCTCCTCCTGCTGCTCCTCCTCCTGCTGCTCCTCCTCCTCCTCCCCCTCCCCCCCTCCCACCCCTCCCTTCCTCCTCCTCAAACTCATCTTCCCCCCACCCTGCAGAGACCGTGAATGCACCTGGCAAGAAGGCGATGCGCCGCAAGCGGCGCGCCTGGCAACGATTGCCTTCTCGATCTCGTGCTTCAGGCGCTCCAGAGGGTAGTCGTCCGGCACGATCGCGCCTTGTCTCATCTCCTGGCCAGGGCTTCGAGCGTGCAAGCATGCAAAGGTTACAAAATTGGAGTCAGCATGATCAACCGAAACAGAAGCAGAAGTGGGGCAGACTCCGTGACGAATACAGAAACATTGGCTTGCGCCCGCACTTGCAGAATTGATCCCTTCTGGCGGCGTGGATCTCGAACGAACAACCGCAGCAGTCCTCTACGATAGACTGGGGGCTGTCTATATGCTTTGTGTAGTCGAATGACACCTGGGTCTTCTTCTTGGTGTTCTTGTCCTCTAGGAAAATGCACACCTGCAGCCGCGGATGAGAAGGAAGGGAAAGGCGGGAGAAGGAGGGAGGGGAATCTGAACGCTTTTGCGCATCGAGGGACTTAGCCTTGTGGCCGCAAACAGATCCCCGTTTAGTGACAAATGCCTCACATGTAGTACATTGGCTTTGAATGAACTACATTGGTGGCTGCGTTTACTAAGTGCTGTTCTGGCGTGTGCCCTTCAGCAGGAACAGTTTAATGAACATATGATTCTCGCTTTACCAAAACAAAATGTGTGCAAACATTGTAACCAAATGTGCAACTGTACACTGCAACGACCTACGTTGGATGGTGCTTCGCAGGGGTTCCAGGACGGGCGGGGGCATCACCGCGAAAGTCTGTTCAGAACGCGATCGTGGAGAGATCCTGGGGTCAACCTTGATGGGAGAGAAGGCAGGAGGGGAACCATGGAAAAGAGACTTAGCCTTGAGATGTTGTGGTGAATGTTCTGAAGTGGGTGTGGGACAAGAGCGGATGGGTGTTTCGAAGATTCGCCACGTTCTGGCCCGCTGCCACTCGCTGCCGCCCGCCGCCGCCCGCTGCCGCCTGTAGGGGCGCGCCTGCGATCCGCCACGCTCCCGCCCGTTGCCGCTTGTGCTGGCGCGAGGAAGCTCCGCCACGCTCTGGACCGACACCGCTCGATGCCTCCTCCTCCTCCTCCTCCTACTCCTCCTCCTCCTCCTCCTCCTCCTCCTCCCGCCAGTGTTGCCGCTTGGGTGGGCGCGTCGAAGACTCGCCGCGTCCCCGCCCGCTGCCGCTCGAGACTCGCCTCCGTGCCCGCCCGTGGCCGCCCCGCCGAGAGGGCGGTGGCCGCTCGCGCACGGCGCACCGACGCGCCGACGCGGTCGCGCCTGCTTCGCCACCCGTTTCCGCACGGGCGAGGGCGCTGAGGACTCGCCACGTCCCCTCCCTCCTCCTCCTCCTCTCCTCTTCCTCCTCCTCCTCCTCCTCCTCCTCCTCCTCCCTCCTCCCTCCTCCCTCTCCTCCCCCTCCTCCCTCCTCCCTCCTCCTCCCTCCTCCTCCTCCTCCCTCCTCCCTCCTCCTCCTCCTCCCTCCTCCTCCTCCTCCTCCTCCTCCTCCTCCTCCTCCTCCTCCTCCTCTCCTCCTCTCCTCCTCCTCCTCCTCCTCCTCCCGCCAGTGTTGCCGCTTGCGTGGGCGCGTCGACGACTTGCCGCGTCCCCGCCCGCTGCCGCTCGAGACTCGCCTCCGTGCCCGCCCGTGGCCGCCCCGCCGAAGTGGCGGTGGCCGCTCGCGCACGGCGCACCGACGCGCCGACGCGGTCGCGCCTGCTTCGCCACCCGCTGGCGCACGGGCGAGGGCGCCGAGGACTCGCCACGTCCCCTCCCTCGCTCCTCTCGCTCCCCCTCCTCCTCCTCTCCTCCTCCTCCTCCTCCTCCTCCTCCTCCTCCTCCTCCTCCCTCCTCCTCCTCCCTCCTCCTCCTCCTCCTCCTCCTCCTCCTCCTGGCTCCTCCTCCTCCTCCTCCTCCTCCTCCTCCTCCTCCTCCTCCCTCCTCCTCCCCCTCCTCCCTCTCCTCCTCCTCCTCCTCCTCCTCCTCCTCCTCCTCCTCATCATCCTCGTCCTCCTCCTCCTCCCTCCTCCCCGGCCCGCCGACACCCGCTGCCACCTCGTGCGCTGCCGCACCCCGTGGCAAGACTTTGCTGGCCAACAGGCTCGCGAGGCGGGCCGGAAGCCGTCCGAGCACGAGTCGGGCCGCGACCGGGCAGCAGGAAGAGAAAGGCATGCGAAGCGAGCGAGCGGGCAGCCACCCAGAAGGAGAGCCAGAACCGATACGCCCGTGGCAAGATGCGAAGCGTCAAGAATGCGAACAGCTGGGCCCTGTTTAGTGGGACCGGGCGGTTTGCCAGCATTTCGGTGGACGCGAAGCGTTACCACATAGCTTTCACCAACGTCCACAACGCTTCCAACACATTGCTTGCACCACGTACCTTCCATCACATAGCTCCCACCAAATAGCCTCTACCACATAGCTCTAACCAAACAGCGTCCAGCAAATAACCCCCAACACCAAATTCCCAAATACCTCACATAGTTCCAACCAAATCACGTCCAACAACTATTTTCCACCACCAACGTGCGAACATTCACTGGTTGGGCCCACGTTGGCAAACAGGCGAAACCAAAGAGGAAGGTGAGGAATGGAGATGCTTCTCATCGATGATACGGCGTCGCTGGGTGGGTGCGTTCGTCACCGCTTAATGTTGGTGCTATTGGTTTCTAGTTGTCGGCGTTAATGGCAAGGTAGTTGTTGATGGTTCTTTTGGTTTGAGCTGCTACCGCTGCCAGTGGCCAGTCGGTGCTGGCGGTCAATGCTGGGCTTGGTGTTGTTGGCTCAGGGCGCTGGCAATCGGTGCTGCGGGCCTCGTGACTGGCGGTTGGCGCTTGTGGTTCGCTCGCATGGCAAAGCGGTACGGTGATCGTGACGAAGGTTTCTGTAGTGAGTTCCCCCCCACCGTGACTGTTGCAACTGTGAGCTATCTCCGCTGGCGTTGCAGCGGAGGTATCGTCGCGGTTGGCTAGAAAACCATGGAAACGAGAGTAAGGAGGCGAGGGAAGGCGGGCGCGGGAAACCAGGCGGGACTTGGGGCCCTCAAGGACGATCTGGCGGTTGGCAGAAGATGTTATGAGATAAGTTCGGGAGGCCTCGCGCAACAACAGGATAATCAAGTAACATCGGATCCACGTGGGATTTTCGTTGGGTTCTTACGTCAGATGGCGTCGGTTCTACATCGGACTTAGGTCGGTTTGTCATCGGAGCATCGCCGCGCAGACGTCGGCCCATGCCTCACAGAGCGGACACGCGGACTAGATGATGCGAATATTACGCGCAGCCAGAAGCTTCCAGGATTCGCCTGATACAGGGTGGAAAAAAAGGAGAGGGGAGGTTGTGCTGTTTGGGGGGGCGCAGTGGGGTTCCAGAAGACGATCGAACGTAGGGGGTCTCCTCGGGGGGGGGGTCGTCCGTCCTTCCGAGTTTCGTCGGGCACGGCGCCGGAAGCATGCGTTTCCCCCTCCACCTGGCGGCGCGCACCAGGGCCGATGCCCCGCGAGGGGAACGGCCCGCTGACAGGGGCCGCGGCGAAGGCCAAGCATGTCGCTGCGCATCGGCGACGCGCGGCGCCGGAAGAAGATCGGGATTCACCGCCGGAAGGTTGAGACGGACTAGAGCTGGCAGCCTGCAAGGCCTGTGCTCTGCAAAGGGCGCTGATCTGGCAGGTGGCCTCCCAGGCATAGGCTCACACTGGCAACGGAGCAAGCAAGACTGGGGAGGCATGCGAGGCAGCTCTCGCGGACGCGCTCTTAAACCGGCCGCGCGCCGCCGCGCCCCCCCGGCTGGCCGCGCCGCACGCCTAGGGCCGCCGCCTGGCGTTGGAGACCCCACGACAAGCTAAAATGGCAGCGGCGGAACAGAAACTGGCCAGGGCAGATAGAGAACCCAGCAAGATTGAGATGGAAAAGCGGCCGGGCTTAGAGAAAGGAGGGGGCGCAAACTGGGGCGGGCAGACACGGAAGGGCTGACCGCGCCCGCGGTGCCCCGCTTGCCTGCGCACGCGATGACTGCTGATAACACGCCGCACGCGACGAAAAGTACTAAACTGAACTACAACGACGTCTCTACAACACATCGACTGCAGCGGTGGCGCGACGGCCAAGGAGGCGCCCGCCCCAGCCGCCGCGGATGAGAAATGTTTCGGTCGCTGCGTCGCTTCGCCATTGGCTTCAACGCGGTTTTGTTCTAACGTGCCAAGCCGCGCGCACACGCCGACGACCGCTGGCTCGGGGGAAAGGGGCGGGGGTAAGAGGGAGGAAGGGCGGAAAATGGACCTGGCGCGCCCCCTATGATCAGACGCGCCTGCGCCCTGACAACTGGCCCCCATGCCAGGCGCGGGCGGCCTTGTCTGAGCCGCGCACCCCACCCGGCGGCATCCAGGCTTCATGTCCGGAACAGCGGGCCCGGAACGCGGAATTCGGCATGGCTGGGCTTCGGCCGAACAACATCAACTGTCGAAATAGACAGCGCTGGACGCGCGCGAGAGGTTCAATTTCGGACCTCATCGCTGGAAATGCTAGAAATCATGAGGAACGCTGGATGCTCAAGATCCTTCGAAACCATGCTGCTTGGAACGCGTCGATACTGTCCACGTCCGTTTTTCTGAGCCAGCACGCTTCCAAAAAAGTATATGAGCTCGGAGATGACGCTCGAATCGAAGAGCTCAAATTTCCGTTTTCGCGCGACGTTGGCGCGCTGCCGTGCACATTGGAATGCGTTGGAAGCTGCCCCGCCATTTCGCCGGGCAACGGCTGCGCCTGCGCCGCCGCCCGCGCGCAAGAAGCCCCCAAGTGCACTGCTGATGCCACGGCCTCGACGCGCGCCCCCCCCGCCGCGGACGCGCCCCTGGCGCGGATAACTCGAAAAACGCTGTCTTCTCCCAATGCGGTTCCCGACCTCAGGCCTTCGCTCTGTGGATGAGACAAGTTAGAAAACCGCGCACCCGGTCGACGTCGTCGGAGGTCAGCGCCGCGTCGTCGGCGCAGGCATCTGCGGCGCAAACAGTAACGGCGGGGTGGGGGCCAAACTCACTTCGCACGTCGTGCCCAACGTCTGTCATAAGAACCGATGGTACGATGATGCAGATAGCTGGGTGGAGCGAGCACCCCTGCGCTATGTCCGCCCCTGGCGGCCCAAGCGGCCGCGTGCCAGGGCCCCCAAACATGTCGTGACCACATCGAGGCAGGCGCCCTAAATGCCGAAGCGTGGCAATGCGAGGAGTTGCGCTGCGTGCTCCGCGCGGTCAAACGCGCTGGGCCAATTAAGCAAGATGGCTGACAACTGACCGCCCCTTGTCGTCCGCGCTCTCTCCGCTGCCCTCTGAGCGAACAAGAGAACGCCCACGGCGCCCCTCAACTTGTCGTCGGCGCCCCCCGCGGGCATCGGTTTCAGGATGAGGCCGGCAACCACTT